ACCACAGGCATGGGCAAACTTCGGCCCTCCAAGTGTTTTGGACTTCAACTCCCACAATTTCTTAGAGCCTCAGTCCTCTTCTTTTCCCCCCTCAGCCACTTAAGGGGGAAAAGGAGAAGGTCTGAGGCTGTTAGGAATTGTGGAAGTTGAATTCCAAAACACCTGGAGGGCTGAAGTTTACCCATTCCTGAGTTCCCATAATATATAGATACAGTTTACATGCACTGTATCCATTATGGCTACAAGGTGAAAGCTCAATGCTAATTTACTTTTGGAACCCTCTAGCACCCCTGCACTCTAGTCAGAACTGTCATTATTGAACGATTGCAATGATGCTTCAAGTCTTATGCTTTCATCTGCACATGCTACAAGGGCGCACTGTTTTAGTTGTGGCTGGTTTCTTATAGTCACAAATGGACAATTCCATATTCACTTCCTTCCTCAACCAAGGCTCGATCTACATCGCCCCTATGTCTCAGAATTTGTTCCCAGATTATCTTCTTATCCCAGATTACCTAGCACTCAGATGATCCAGTTCAAATCAGATAATCTGAGATCACATCCTGGGATTTAGCACAGTGTCGGTCCAGTCTAAATTGGGAACTGTAATGTCAGAAATGGCCGAGGCTCTTAAATTAGTCTTTTCATTTTAAAAGATTGCATCTGAATGGAAAGTGATTGTGTTTTAGGAAGTGGGCCCAGTTTCTTGGAAACACCAACAAATATGAAATGGCATTGGCATATTTTATATTTAGATTGTTCTTGGGCATGTATTTTCTATTAGTATTAATACTTGGAGGACAGTAGTTGATTTTACACTTGGCTTGCTTATATATAAAAGATTTATATTAGTTGGCTTAATGCTGTAAACCAGGCATGGGCAACCTTCGCCCTTCGGGGTGTTTTGGACTTCAACTCCCCCAATTCCCAACAGCTGGTAGGCTGATAGGAATTGTGGGAGTTGGAGTCCAAAACACCCGGAGGGCCCAAGTTTGCCCATGCCTGGCGTAAACATACATTTCCGGTGCTGAAGATGCACATTCCTCCCGAGTTCTCTTTTAGTCTCAGTGGATTTTTTGCAGAGTTATTCTTAGACTGGCCTGAATTTGTAATCCTAATTGGAAATACTTGATTCTGGTGGTTTCAGGGATCAAGCTCTGTGGTAACTAAGCTATTTTAAGAGAGCACTTTGGCATGGCCCGATTGTCCTTGGCAGGCTCACACCATGTCTTCTTGAAAGTAACTCCCAGAGTCTTGGTCCTGTGTTTGTGAACTTCCCTCACATAGGGTTGAGTGCACAGATTAAGCCCAAGGTTGTAAAGGTCACTCATTCTGATATGAAGCTAACAGAGGGGCAAGGCTCTGTAGGAGTCCGAAAAGGAAGGGCTAGTGCCGGTCGCTAAGCAACCAACCACAAGAATTTGTTCAGTCACAAGGCCTTGGAGCCTATTTAGTTTGTTTATGTCAAGTAGTCTGCCACCCGGGTTGACAAAGGAAAGCGGGGAATGGGGCTAAGCAGAGTATATGTTGTGACTGTAATTCCCTTTTATCTGGGTTACAGGAAATTGCTTGGTGCCGGCTGTTTTGTCCTCCGTTCACTTACTAAAACGAAACCTGGTCCTGTGCCAGTTACTACTACCTTTCCAAGTTAGTCAGTGTTTGGTTTCGGTCAGACTGACTGACTGGCATGGAATGTGTGGAATTCTGCCCTGCGTGTGTAGAATGCCCAACAATAGGCCTTTCATTAAAAACAAAGGGCATCATGTCCACCGCACTGTGTTTACGACAGTCTCCTGGTACCGATTACTGCCATCTCCAGCTAGGAGTTTCAATATAAGTTTCCTCTGTCTTATTTCATTTGTGCTTCCAGGGAAGATTGATATGCATCAGGGTCCACTGTGTTCTTTCTTCTCTTTTTTTTCACATAGTAAAATATTAAACATCCCTCCTATCGCCCTCGAGGGTTTGAGGTCACTAGACCTCTATTTGAACACATTCCACAGCCCTGCATAGTTTAACTGGTTACCTGTTAATGGTGGCTTGAAGTTTGCACAGCTTGAAAAAACTTAATCATGAATCATTATTTGCAAATCAGACTTTGACCTGTGTCTTTCTTAAGGGCTTTCATGCAGTTGCTGTTCTTGGCAGAAGAGATAGTGTGAACGGGATATTAGAAAATATTCAGTTTAGGATGAACAGCCTTCAAGTTTGACTTTCTTGCTGATATTTCAGTATAGAATATGAAAGATTTCCCTCCCTTCTGCCATGGAACTGTTGTGCTATATTGCAAATTTGTTATTTTTTTTCTTTCTTGGCCTGCTTTAAATTTCTTTTAATTCCATTGGTAACATAAGTATATTTTGATTGTTTTTATGTGATGTGTATTTTGAATTTCATCTGGTCTAACTTTCACAAGCAATCATGTGTTCTAGAGCTGGGGGGAAAAGAATATAAATAATTATAAAAGCAATATTAATAACAGTGCTACTTATTAATAATAGTGTCTTCTTTGCAATCTGGATGTACTCTGACAGATCTGCTGTTATGAACTAAGGCATAGATGCATCCATGAACACAGTAAGCTTCCAAAATAGAAATTAAACTTTTAGTATTGACTAGACTTGGATGGCATGTTAAATCTTGATTTTGGGCAGGGAATCACATGGCCCTCCAATAGCTGTTGGTTTGTTCCTCCCAGTATTTCTAGGCAGTGCTGCCAATAATGTAAGTGAGACTGATTTCACACTCTTCCCCCACGTGTCTTCTCTTCTGGCACAACGGCAAGGAATACAAACTTTGGGAAATGTCCTTCAGTTTTCTGTTAGGCAAAGCTTGCTAAGCCATCTGAATTGTTGCTCATGTTAACTGTGATTTGCTTGAAATAAACCATAGCTAATAGTAACTCTGGGGGTAACTATGTTAAACTGCCCCCTTCCAACCACTGACACATAAAATCCAGATTATCTGCTTTGAACTGGATTATATGGCAGTGTAGACTTATATAATCCAGTTCAAAGCAGACCATATTCATTTATTTACCGTATTTATATTCCACCCTTCTCACCCCGCCGGGGACTCAGGGTGGATTACAATGCACATATACATGGCAAACATTCAATGGCATTGGACATACAAAATATATAGACAGACACAGAGTCAATCTAACATACCAGCTTTCCGGTTTCATGAGGGTATGCTTAATTCCAGCCATAGGGGGAGCTGCCGCTTCACCGTCCATTTGTGACACCGAGTTCTTGATGGAGTCCTTCCTCATTCTTACGCACATTGCTGGAAGGTTTTATGGTCTTGTAAATTAGTTAAATTAGCCTCCCCTCATAAAGCAGTACCTAAATTTCCTACTTTACAGATGCAAATGTCTTTCGGGCTGCATAGGTCAACAGCAAGCTAGACTATCATATGGATGTCAGGAGAAACTGCAAGTCACATCTGGTGTCAGACAATTGGCCATTTTCAAGGACATTGCCCAGGGGATGCCCAGATGTTACGATGTTTTACCATCCTTGTGGGAGGCTTCTCTCTTGTCCCTACATGGGGAGCCGGAGCAGACAGAAGGAGCTCATCTATGTTCTCTTCAGATTTGAACTTCCAACCTGTCAGTCTTCAGTCCTGCTGGCACACGGGTTTAACCCATGATTATTTACTTTGATAATCTGGATTATATGGCAGTGTAGAAGGGGATGATGGATAGTTGATGGTGCCAAAGGTGATTTCACCTGGAATGATAATCAGTCAATGGCTAGCCCAGAGAGGAAAATTGCTTGCAGGTTTGGCACTCAGAAGGAGGGAAGAGTTTAATAAGGCACACTAATAATTAAAGTAATGGTAGTCACAAAAGGAAAGAAAATGATAATGATAGAAATCAAGAGGAAACACTATTGAGAATTGGACAAAAGAAATGGTGAAATGGGGAACCAGAATATAGAGAAGGCTGGGGGAAAGGATCCATATGAGACTGTTGGGGGAATCTCCAATGAAGTCTTATCTCAGAAGGAACTTGCAGGAAGCTCTTTGAGCCATGGAGAAGGAACAAGTGCTTTGCCCCAGCAGAAAACATCACATTAGCCAGAAAACGCCTCCTCTGTAGAGAATTTACTTCAGAGGGACAAGGGACAAATCACAGCACAATCCCAGATGGAAGAAGAGATCATCTGCTCAAAATGGGGAGCACATTATAGACACCTACCTCTGCTGAAGTGCAGTAAAGAATCCAGAACAGAGACTGCCTAAAACATCTCAATGACATGGCTTGCTAGCAGAGGGCTAATTGACCTCCTGGGAGGGATGCTTGATTCCCTCTGCTGCTGTCACTTTTCCCTTTTTTCACTCTGTAGGCCTCTGGTGCACTAATGCACATCTCCCCTCGAAATGGGGGGAAACATCCACAGGGCAGTTTGAGGCCAAGTTCTATGGTAAATGCAATCACTATTCTGGCCTCAAACCAATTCCAGTCACGATTGTCGTAACACCTGCGCAGTGAAATAGGTTTCTCTCAAACCAGTTTGTTGTTTTCAGTCTGTGGTTAATGGAAATGGAGAAAAACTCCCCAGTGCTTCCTTGTATCTGTAAGGAGAAAGGAATAAAAGGCATGTGAGCCTGAGCCTTGCTGAAGTTTATTTTTGCCATGCTTAACCTCAGTTTGGAAACACTATGTTTTGGACTACATCTCCTTGATAATGTCAGCCAGAAGAGACAACTTGCATGAACTGTATAATGGTAAATCATTGTTCACTGTTACTTAAACCATATCCCTATCTGTAAAAATAAAACAGTTTATACAATGTGCTTGGTGTTTTGTTCCCTGAGTCCTTCAAACCCATATTATATCAAATGTATACCATTTTTCTATTTAACTATTGAAAGGTTGTAATGCACATTAATAAATTACAATAATGTTTGCTTCGAAATTAGATGTAAATAGATTAAGCCCATGTGTTTAGGCAAATCAATCACCATCCAAACAATTTTTCTTCCCTTTGTAGTTCTGTTGCTTGAGAAGATCGAGAACGATGACATCGGTAACAAAACCTTGAAGATTACAGACTTTGGCTTGGCTAGAGAGTGGCACAGAACAACTAAAATGAGTGCAGCAGGAACGTATGCATGGATGGCACCTGAAGTTATCAAATCATCCATGTTTTCTAAAGGAAGCGACATCTGGAGGTAAATATTTTTTTCAGTGTTTTTGTCTTGTCCATTTTCTATTCAGGTGAATCTAATTAAAGATCATCATGGGATGCATAGTTCTCCTAATTAACATGGTTGATTAACAGTGTACAATACAGTTTTCATTTGATAAGAGGGGATTTTTCAATGGTCATAAAGTTTATATTATTTACAACGTTTGTATGTTTTTCATCTGTTTTGGTTTATGATTGATCAGCAGGCCTCTCCAGCCTGTGGCCCTCCAGCTGTTTGGGTCTCAATTCCAATAATTTCTGATCATTGAATAAGCTGGCTAGGAATTCTGGGGGTTGGAGGCCCAAACAGCTGGAGGGCCACAGGTTGAAGAGACCTGGTCTAGAATTTTTATTCAAGCAAAGTCTTTGCTGGTACTACAGGCTGTCCCTGTGTTACAAACATCTGACTTGCAAATGACTCATACTTACAAACAGGGGTAAGACAACAGGAAGTGAGAGAAATCTACCCCTAGGAAGGGAAATTCACACCTGGGAGAGTTATCCTGGGGAAAAGGTGTCTCCACCAAAGATTTCTCACCAATCCTTGTTTCCATAACAAACCAAATTTCTCACAGCAAAACAAACACCACAAGGGTGTTAACCCTTCCTTTTGCTATCCTATACACACACACATACACACACACACACACGGTGTTGCACTTCAAAAATGTACCTGTTCCCACTTAGATTCTGTATATTTGAATTTGTTTCTATCTCGTTTGTGCATTGGGGACTGCCTGTACTTTGGTGTGGAAAATGGTAGCAGTAGCAATTGGATACACTTTCTTACTAGAGGTAGCAGGGCTCTGGAATGGCAGGAAGATGTTCTGCAGAGTGTTCTTAGTTTAGCCGGCATTCCTGTGGCTGGTACTAGTCCATATCAGTTATCTAAAGGCATCCAGGATTTGAAATATAAGTAATCAAATTCTCATGTTCTATTAATGAAGTTCAGAGTGTCTTAGGAAATTTGAGAATGATTGACAGAGATATGTAGACTCTTCAGATATAAGAAAATTAAAATTATATGCCAAGAGACATGCCTTTTTGTGCCTATATACATAATGGATATTGGGCAATTTTGTGTTTTGCATAATTTACATTGTATTAACAGTTTACACTCTTCACTCTGCCCTTCTTAGTCATATAATCTAGTTGGTATATAATGCCAAGCCATAGTTAAGCTATAGTGATAAACTTTGATCGAAAGTTCCTTGACATTGTTATGTGTCTATTTAGTTGAAAAGAAATCTGTTGATTTCAGTTGTAGTCAACTAAGTTTGCTTAGCATTGTGCCCTTAGTTGTGTACTATCTCAGATTGGTATTGAATTGGTATTAAATTTCAATATGTATGTGGTAGGGAGGATAAGCTCATTTGTTTTCCCTAAACAGTGTCATTGCAGGTATTAGCTTCTGTAGTAGTTAGGTTATTTGAGAGCGACATCTTTTGAAACTTACTAGAATCATTAAGCTAGATACTGGAAAACCTTGCAGATACCTCCCTTAGAGCCGTCGCAAACTCTGTTCCTGCGGGAGCAAACCTTGCTAGCATGTCCCTGACGTCATGAGACTCCGCCTCTCGCCCCGCCCCTTTCTCCGCCTCTTTCTCCTTGCGAGAGTGGTTTTTCCTTTCCTAGGGCAGCATTGCCAGCGTACTCTCTCAGTTGGCAGAATTCAACTGAGAGAAAATGCGGGCAATGCTGCCCTAGCAAAGGAAAAACCACGCTGGCAAAGAGAAAGGGGCGGAGAAAGGGGCGGGGAGAGAGGTGCAGGCTCATGACGTCAGGGACGTGCTAGCAAGGTTTTCTCCCGCAGGAACCTAGTTTGCGACGGGTCTTAGAAGAATGGCGAAAATATAGCCTCTTTTGTGAAGATATTGAGAGAAGGAGGCTCCATTGTCTTTCTAAGAAGTTAGATCCATTGCCAAACCACTGTCACTATTAAGAAGCTTTTTCTAATGTTCAGTTATAACAACAACAACAACTTTATTTTTATACCCCGCCTCCATCTCCCCTAAGGGACATCAGGTGGCTTACAAAGGTGGCCCAGGGAGCACAAAGTTAAAAACATAACACAATAAGATAGCATAAAAACCAAACCAAATAAAAACATATAACATATAACAATAAAACATAACATTATAAAAACAGTACCATACAGAACAATAAAAGTGCTGAGTCCAGAGGGCTCTGGATTTGTGCAAATTCCTAGACAGAGCTAAGGGAAAGTGCAAAATTTCAGAAGGCAGGAGTGGGAGGATAATGTTCATGGGCATTAAAATGTCAGGATTGTAGAGCGGAGGGCCATGCTAAAGTGCTGGAACTTAGGTAACATTGGGCCAATTCTTTGGAACTGCCTAGTCAAAGGCACAGTGCAACATCCGTGTTTTTAGGTTCTTGTGGAAGGTTGATATGTACTATCCTGTAGTTTAAACCCATCAGACCCAGTTCTACAAGGCAACCCATCTGATTTTTAAAGAATGTGGTCATGCCACCCCCATTCTTTACTTTTCCACATTGAGCATGCCCATCTCTTTCAACCTGCCATGAAATGTATTGTCGAAGGCTTTCATGGCTGGAATCACTAAGTTCTTGTGGGTTTTTTCGGGCTATATGGCAAATGCCTCTAGAACATGGCCATATAGCCCGAAAAAACCCACAAGAACTTACTGCCATGAAATGTTTGTTCTCTATACCTTTATTCCCATTGCCCTTCTCTGAACTTATTCCAACTTGTTGATACCCTTCTTTTTTTGAAAAAAGGTGTGCAGACTACAGTGCTCCAAAGGAGGCTTCATTATAATAGAATATTGCAGAACTCTTATTTCCTTTGGCCAGGAAATTATGCTTATATTGATACAAGCTAAGATAGCACTTGTTTTCTTTGCAACACCATCTTATTGCTGATCCACATTCAACTTACAATCAACACTAACCACGACGTCTTTTTCACATGTAGTGCTGCTGGGTTCATGTGTGTGTAGATTTAGGAGGGACAGAACATTAGAGAATGCATCCAGTATTATCTCTCTGCATCATTCTGCCACTTGTCAAAAGTGCTAGTGGTCTGGAAATTAAACAGATTGTCCTTTATTTTCTCTGTCATATCAGCTGTGAACAATAATAATACGTTGTGCATGTGGGATGATTTATTGTAGTCTCACTTATCCAACATAAACTGGCCGGCAGAATGTTGGATAAGCAACAATTTTGGATAATAAGGAGGGATTAAGGAAAAGCCTATTAAATGTCAAATTACGTTATGATTTTACAAATTAAGCACCAGCATATCATGTTTTACAACAAATCGACAAAAAAGCAGTTCAATACATGGTAATATTATGTAGTAATTGCTGTATTTACAAATTTAGCACCAAAACATCACAATGTATTGAAACAGCTGGGGATGCGGGTGGGAGGCAGACTGTGTTGGATAATACAGAACGTTGGATGAGCAAAAGTTGAATTAGCGAGACTCTACTCTACTTAGTTACACAATTGTTGGGAACTTTCTCCTGACAACTATCACATTCAGATGTATCTTGGAGAATGGGTTCTGTACAAGTAACATATTTCTTACATCATGAGATCAGTACTCATCCTGTGACAAATTTAATAAAAATGTTGCTTTTGAGACTCAGTTGTCATTTGGTGGACTAAAGCTGTTGCAATAAACTATATGGCAATGTTTTTAAAATGAAATTGTCTGCATTGCAATGAATTTCCCATGGGACTATTTTGTTTTAAGTAATTTGGATTGAAAAGCAAAGAAGATAATTTGGAGCAATAGGAATTATTCAGACTCCTATTCTGAGTAGCCTTCTCTGAACTTTCCTGCATGATACTTCTGGAAACAAACATGCTAAAACTGATTATTATTCACGAAACCCTTCTATATGTATGTGGATTTCTTTCAAATAACATACGTGTGGTCATGACACATTTTATTTTGCTACAAGCATGTGTAGTGCTAATCATCCCAGCCAGTGCTAAAAGGATGGGCAGTGTTGTGATGTAATAGCTTTTCTAATAGTTTTTTTCAAGGCTTTTTTTCTACCAGAATATTGTCTAGACAGAGCTGCTGCCCTTTCATGCCCATTACTAAGCCATGTGTCAACATTAAATATACACCTTTATTTATTTATTTATTTATGAAACATTTATTTTTAGTTATGGCGTATTGCTGTGGGAACTGCTTACAGGAGAAGTTCCTTACCGTGGCATTGATGGTCTTGCTGTGGCTTATGGCGTTGCTGTCAATAAGCTTACTTTGCCCATTCCATCTACCTGTCCTGAACCATTTGCTAAACTAATGAAAGGTACTTGTGCTGCTTATTAAAACATCTGCTTTAAGATTACTTGCATGTTGTCTGTAATACATGTTATTTTTTTTAAGTTTCAGCATTTCATTTGATAATGTATTAACTTCTGTTCAGATGCAGAAAAAGTTGATCCTTCATTTCATTGCAGTTCTGTACTAAAACTATTTTAACACAGTCAGCACAGGAACATTAGTGTATTCCTAAAGCTGCATTCATGTTTGTAAGGGTTTCCTTGGTTATTCATTCAGTAAGCCATATTCTACCTTTCCTTCAGGAGGAGCTCATAATAGGCTTATAGCTTTACAAGCTCCAATGTGAATTTTAAAAAGTTACTCCAGTGGTTCTCAAGCTGTGCTCTTCCAGATGTTTTAGACTTCAACTCCCATAATTCTTAATAGCTGGTAAATTGGCTGGAATTTCTGAGAACTGAAGTCCAAAGCACCTGGAGGAGCACAGTTTGAGAAGCACTTCTTTATTCTATTAAGTTCAAGATTGAATGTGTGTCTGTCTAAGCCTAGCATTTTAGCCAGGACACTACATCTGCTTTTTAGTACCAAATATCTTCACAGTAAGTTCTGAAAAATGATGATAAAATAAGAACTGCATTCACCACCAAACTTTTGCAGATTTGATTATTCACACATTTGATTAATATTATCTCATTAAGAGACTCTAGGTCAGTGGTTCTCAACCTGTGGGTTCCCAGGTGTTTTGGCCTACAATTCTCAGAAATCCGAGCCCATTTTACCAGCTGTTAGGATTTCTGGGAGTTGAAGGCCAAAACATCTGGGGACCCACTAGTTGAGAACCACTGCTCTAGGTCCTCCATTGTGAGTCTGTGGTAAACTTCCTGTGGAGTCACATCAGATAACCTAGAATGGTGTTTTCCCAGTTTTAAACAATCCAACATTTTATTTATATAAGCAAGTTTTCCATTTACATAAGGGCCCTCCATCCCTGCTTCCAGCAAATATGGTGGGCTGACTGTAGTTTAAGAATGTGCATAAATCGGATTAGAACCAAATATTCCTCTACTCTTCTGACTAATGTAACTGATGAATTTTAGACTGCTGGGCACAGGATCCTCATATTCGACCTTCGTTCACCTTGATTCTTGAACAGCTTACTGCCATTGAAGGGGCTGTTATGACTGAGATGCCTCAGGAATCTTTTCATTCCATGCAAGAAGACTGGAAACTGGAAATCCAAGAGATATTTGATGAGCTGCGGACCAAGGAAAAAGTGAGTAAATTTTGAAGGAAGGACAATAATATTGAATTGATGGCATAATTTTAAAATGCACCAGGATCATAACTGGGCATTTGAATTGCTTGTTTATCATCTCTTATTCAGTGTTAAACAAACAAGAATAGCCAATACTTTAGGGTCAGTATGAGAATAATAAATTCACTGTCCTTGTCTATTCTGTATCCAGTCTAATATACTATGAGAATTATTGAGGTTATATGTCTTGTCTTCTACCCTGCTAAAACTGCATAATACATTTAAATATTTCTAATCTAATTGATCCTAATGAGATCCACTCTAAAAGCAATTATTTCATTTGTTCAGTATTAATTTTGAATGTTTAAATCAGTTACCATCGTTCTAACATGCTATTTTCAACATATTCTAACATACTAAGAATCTTTTTATGTAATCGTTTAAGATAGAAAATGAAGATGGATTATTTTATAGAAATCTTCTGTTTATTTGGCAGGCATTTTTAAAAATTGGTTCCTCAGATTGCATTTCGACTGTTTTCACTTTCGTCTGTTACTGTAAAGAGAAATAATTGTACTTATGTGGTTATTTTGTTACTTTTCAAAGAAGTAACCATGTTAATATCTTGCAGCATAAAAGGGAGTAAGGAAATGGAAGGTAGCACCATCTTTAAAACAACCTCATTTTTAATGTTTCATGAGTTTTTGTTGATGTAAACCTACTTTCTCAGATACAGTACAGAGTGATATTCAGCCATAGGATTTAAAGCATATTTGCTCCATTTTGGGAGTGTGATGCAAAGTAATAGAAACTAGAAGGATGTAAGTTGGGTCCCTTGCCCTAAATTTTCAAAGAGCTCAGCACAATCATACAGTCCTTTCCAATTTTTACAGTGATTAGCTAATGTTGATGTGTAAAAGCAATCAATCTGTTTACCAAAAATCAGGTTTTTTTAGGTTCAAAACTTTATGTAAGCAGTTCTTTTTGTTACAGTAGCAAAGACTCTTGTATTAATATATGTAGCATGACAGGAAGTCATTGTTTTTGTTTATATTTCTGTTTGTGGATTAGAATTTGTAAATACAGCTCAAGATGTTTCTTTCTAGTCTTCCTTTGTAAGTTCCTTGTTCAAGGAGCACAACCTTTAAATCCTGTCCTGTATGAAATATTGGTTGACATATTCTGCAACTGATTTTTGGATTTTGCCATTGTTAATTCCAGACTTGTGGCCCTTTATTACTGTGCACAGACACACTTCTGTTTGTCCAGTGTAGAAGATAGGTTGTTTGGGTTCCTCATGTGTATATGTGTTGGTTCAGAGTGGGCGTATCATTTAAAGACTCAGAAGGTCTGCTCTCCACAAAGATTCAGCATATTTTTATCGTAAGGCACAAGTTTATGTCCTAACAAGTACTTCAATATCTGTTTTAGGAGCTTAGGTCACGAGAAGAAGAGTTAACAAGAGCTGCTCTTCATCAGAAGTCTCAGGAAGAATTGCTGAAAAGACGCGAGCAGCAGCTAGCAGAACGAGAAATTGATGTGTTGGAGCGAGAACTCAATATTTTGATATTCCAGTTAAATCAAGATAAGCCCAATGTGAAGAAAAGAAAGGGGAAGTTTAAAAAAAGCCGACTAAAACTTAAGGATGGGCACAGAATTAGTCTGCCTTCAGGTTCGTTTCCTTTCCTTCCTTTGTCTCTCAAGCAAATTTATTTAGGATTGCTAATGAACTTGAACAGTCAGATTTTCGAGTTGGAAGATTCAGAGGTTATATTAATCTAATAATATCATCTTATTCATATAAAACATGTGTCAGAAATGCAAACCTTTTGTGGAAGCTTTAAGGCCAAAACTCTTATATGTTTAGCTTGTATGTTCAGTCATACTAAAGACAAATGAAATTACCAGAAGTAATTATAGTCGGGAAGATTGCCTTGCGATATAAGGCTGTGGGTACCACTCTTGCCCTGTTGATCCCACATTATCCTTGCATTCTCTTCAGTATGTCTATTATTGATGGTTCAAGTGTGTTTAAAAGGACAGCACATAGGTACGCCTCATTAATTAGCAGACTGTTTTAATTTGGGAATAAAATTGGGAATATAAATGTGAGCCAAATCAGATAGCAATGTACCATAGTTACTGAATTATCTGTTCATCATAAGGCAATAGTTGAAGTGGTTTCTAGCAGCAACAAGACAGCACAGAAAACCCATCTTTGTCATCAGTGAGATGTGTGCTTCTAGCAGGGCAGCTTTCATTTCTGATGGAGATAACTTTCACAGTAATCTCTCTCTTCTTACCTTGCTGCCATTTTACCTTCGCTCTTGCACCACTCCTAGACTAGTGTAGTTATGCCATTCAATAGGAGTGCAGTCCAAGTATTAAAATTATTTCCCAGTTTTGTTTGCATGGCCATGCCCTTAACTTTCCATTTGATGGTATCATATTAAGTCATACTGTTTATTCCTTCCGCATCCATCTTTTCATCTGCACCTTTCTAGTAACCTTTTCACCTTTTGTACTTGGTTCTTTTTCATGGGTTATAAAGCCGAACAATCTGTGAAGATTGACCTGAAAGCAAACTGCAGTCAGTTTCTAAGAGCCATGTACATGACTATTAAAAAATGGTTGTGCAATGTTTCCTGGTGTCTGGATGTGGAAATACATTTGTACCTCAGTTAATGAAGTAGATGTCTGACCTTCCATGAAAATAACTTTATGAAAAGAAATATCTTTATCAGAGGCCTTGTTAAATGATGTGTGTCTGTAATATGTTTAGATTTACAGACAACAGTTTCTCTGCAGTCATAAAGGTGAGATGAGGCAAATAGTATTCCAAAGCCCACTTGGTGGGGATGTCCCTTTTCGATATATTCCTAAGTTAACATGTCTAGAATGTATTACATTTATTAAAGTCAGAGTAGAATTGGCGTTAAAACAGATTCTTAATTCTCTGGTTCTGCTACATCTAAAGCAAGTCTCAAAACTTGATGTGTTGTTGTGTTAGTCCTGAATGTTTGTTTTTTAAGAAAGGAACACTGGAACATAACTTATTCTTTATTTGTAACAGATTTTCAACATAAGATAACAGTGCAAGCTTCCCCAAATCTGGATAAACGAAGAAGTTTAAACAGTAACAGTTCTAGTCCACCAAGTAGTCCTCCAATAATTCCCCGCCTTCGAGCTATACAGTGTAAGTCTAAAGCATTTTTCGTATTTCTTCCAGTTTAAAATGGTCTTAATCTGTTATCCTTGCAGGTCACTTTTATTTGACTAAAGCTGTGGTCCTGTACTTATTTACCCATTGAGCGCAATGTCACTTCTAATCAAACGTGCATGAGATTGTGCTGTGAAATGCTGTTAGTATTGGTGATGGTAAAGTAAAACATACTTACAGGGGGATTGAATAGAGTGGCAAAAAAGAAAAAGAAAACATGTATTATTCCAATACATTTCATAATTGTACAAATTTGCAGTTTTAAGAGCTTAGCTAATCATGCTTAATACTGGTACACACAAACCTTTAACTGTGCCCAAGATTTGGTTTAAGCATCACACTAATGTATAATTGGAACTTCCAATCCAAACTAGTTCATGGTCACTTTTCTTCCTTCATTTTCCACCTTCTCTCTCCAGGTGCCATGGCCTCTAATAGTAGAACTATGGTCATAACTCTGTTGGTCTATTCAGACAACATGCCACACTTTAATTCTTTGGATCTGTAGGCTTGCTATTGATCATGCATTATTATTCTAGATTGTCTGCTTCTTCAAAATTGTGACTTTTCAAATCCAAACCACAGTTTGACATTTTCTGAAATGGTCCAAATAGGCTGTGATAGGAGATGGAATTTACATGGAAGAGGAAGAATTGCCCCAAAATAATGTCTTGTCTGATTTTGGTCCCTTAACCACTATTTAAGGATATATCCAGATATTTCTTAGAGGTCAGTCCAGGTAAATCACATTATTTTGTGTGGAAAAATATTAATGACCTCTGTAATAATGTAAGATGCTGGTTAAGCCTTTGTTTATTACAGCTTAACTCAGGAAAACCAAAGTAAATAAGCAAAGCAGTAATAGGGCAAGAATCAGCGCTTCTTTTGTTTTTAAGAGGGCCTAATCAAAAATAGTCTCAAAAACAAGTTATTCCTTGTTATTTATTGTGTATAAGCCTAACACATGCAAGTGTTTTCAACTGAAATGTGGGCAAAACAGTTCTATCAGTACTAGTGTGTTTATATCATGGTATATGTGACTAGTACATGATTGTATTTGTTGGTACAGACATTCGAAAATCCTTTATTTTTATTGTTGTTTGCTGCATTTCCTTGTCAGCTCAGGATGTAGGGACAGATTCATATCCCACAAAAATAATACTTCAACACCTTTTAGCAAACATTTTTTGCAGATCTAACAATGTATACATGTGAATGAAAATGACCAGGTCAAGTTATGCCTTGCATAAGTAAATAAAAACATGTTGACTTTTATAGAGACCATCTGAAGATTTGTTCTAAAAACTTCCAGGGATGACTTTTTTTCACTCACTTCTACTTCTGTTATGATTTCTTTTCTGATGTTCATACTTAGAGACTAGAGATCTATGTTTTTTTTTTCAACACACTGGAGATCTCCGTTAAGATTTATCTTTTTTCTTATGGTTTTGCTATTCACACAGTAATAGATTCTGGATGCAGCGGTTATGTACCTTGCCTATTGTAGGCAGCCTCAGATGACTACTGTAGGACTGACTAGAGTAAAATTCTAATCTGAACAAACTTTATTTTGTTTACTGCTGCAGACTGCTGCAACATTGGACATTTTGTTTCTATTTGTTTCCTTCAGAGCGTACACAAATATTTTTAATCTCAACATGTCCATTCTCCACTTAAATTAAGACAATGAGCAGTGGGACTAGGGAGGCATACGAAGACTTTAGAAAAAGGAGCAATTTTGTCTGAGATGTCTTAAAGAGGAAGATAAAAGTCAAATCCCCTCTGAACAAATTTTACCAAGAAACAAATTCTGTAATAATTTTACTTTAAGACACTCCTAAATCAGAAAGAACCTGAAGGCAAACAGCATCAGCAAATGGCTAAGTATCCTAAAGGCACCAGATCCTGATCTTGGAAGCTAAACATGGTCAGCGTGGTTAATACTTCAGAGGAAGAAACAGACAAAACCACCTCTGAGGGGTGTTTTTGCCTAAGAAGACCCTATGAAAATTATGGGGCTACTGTGAGAGGTGACTGAAGTTACATATACAGGCAACCCCCCCCCCCCCCAGTTACGAACAAGATAGGCTGTGTAGGTTTGTTCTTAAGTTGAATTTGTTTGTAAGTCGGAACAGGTACATTTTCACTTCACTTTCTCTCCCTATAATAACTGGATTATGAAAAATTTGGCTTGTTATAGAAACAAAGCTTGGTGAGAAAGCTTCAGTTCAGACACATTTTCTCCATGTTAACTCTTCCAGGGTGAATTTCCCTACTTAGGAGTATATTTCCCTCACTTCCTGTTGACTCAGCCCCATTCTTAATTATGAGTAATTTGTAAGACATATGTTTGTAACTCAGGGACTACCCATACACACATACAGATAGTTGTACAATCCATCCATTTCTATGCAAACTCTTGGGATGACTTAGAAATTATAAGAACTGAGTTATTTCCAAAGTCCTGCTGTCAGGAAAAAAGTGTAAGAATTATAGTTCAATGTTACTGTAGTAGCTGTGTAAGTGCTAGCAGAACAACTAATATTGTTCAGCAATGGCTTGTATTAACACTTTGTCAACTGGAATCAAAGTACTGGATTTTCACATGCATGGGAGTTAATGTAGAGTGTCCATAAATATAGAAACTTACACAAGAATGATGGCATTACTGGACACAGCTCTATATCACAGTGTGTTCTTGGCTATATTTCAGAGAAAGGAACTGGCAAAACTACTTCTGAATATTCCTTACCTAAGACAGTACTATTCACTATAAGTTGGCAGGTGTCTTGAAGGTATATACACATGCACACCCATATGCTTAACTGCCTATACAGATTGATTAACTATTTTATTTCATTTTTTTTTAAAAATGGCAAAAATGACTTCAGAAAGCGGTATGGAAAAGAAGGGGAAACGTGTGGGCAGTGTTAAATAGAACAAAATGTTCAGGAGACAGAATGAGAGATAGAGATAAGAGATTGTTACATTCAGTGTATTTCCAAATATTTTCCCACTGCATTCAGCTCCCAGTGCTGGTTAATTATTCAGTATCTTCTGTTTGAGAATAATAAATTATCACTCCTGTTTCCCAGAACTGAAAAGGACTATTGTCTGTCAGTCTTTCAACCTGAATGTCTTGTAAACAAAAGATTATTTTCTTCTTGTTAAACACCATTTTCTTAATCCTTTGTTCCCATTTTCTTCTGTTCTTTCATAATTTATAGATAACAGTGAAGGAGAGACTTGTACTGACATTAATACTTGTGTACTTATTTGGTAAAGCTTTCTTACTCAACCAGTACATTTCTCTTCTTTCCTGGTTTTGGCAGAAATATAGTGGCATATGAAGAAAACATGAGTATCTTCATTGCAACCCAAAATTTAGCTAGTGATCTATTTTTGCCTTTGTGAAGATTCTTCTTCTATGATGATAATATGACCTATGGATCTGTCCTTTTGGCTTTTACGAAAACATTGAAAAGGCTCATTATAATACATTTCTTTACTGTTGATCATTCTTCAAATTGGGTGTTGCTATTTTATTATAACGATTCTCATGAACCATAAGGTGTAGTGATAACACCAAATATGTTAAACTTTAAAAGACAATTAGACATGCTTTTAAAAATACAATTTTATTAGTTTACTTTTAGTAGCACAGTATTTGTAAAGATGGATACTAATTATAATCTGTCATCTTTGTAAAAATGCTGGATGTGATTTTACATTCTAGTTCACTTCTCCAAAATGTCTTCTTTTAAGACAATATATATTAATTGTTTGGGGATTTATGTATTAATCCATGTTATCTGCAACAGGAAGGATATAGGTCTTTATTAATTAATGGTAGTCAAGAGGGTATAAAAATCTATATAATTTTGTCAAAGAGGCTGAAGTGGCTTGAATAGTTACTAACAACTTTAATAGCTTCTTTAAGCAGGCAAAGTATTACTGACTACTAGCCTTGATAGCTATATATGAACATATCTGTCTTTGAATGTAAATTGCTGGGGAACACAACAGTGAGCCATGTTGCTTTCTATTCCTAAGATGCATTTAAGGGATTTTTACACTGGTTAAGGACACTTTTGTTGTACTGGTATTGACACAATATCAAGCTGATGTACATCTTTGTATTTTCATCTATGTTCTCTAATTGTTTCTTCAGTGATTTCCAATACTGACTCCAATACAGCTAATGGGCAAAGAAACAGTATATATGTGTACCATCAAGAAGTAGATATAACAAGTGAATATGAACTTCCCAGTGGGGTTAAGAAAAAAGGCAAGATCACATTAAGTCATACAAGGTGTTGGTTATATTAATTTCTTAGCTAAATTTTCTGTGAAGTGAGAGGCTGAACACTGGATATACCTTTCAGAGACTTCCTTGTGGACGACAGCACATAATGTTAATTCTATGCTAAGGCATAATTCCCCTATGAGAAGATCCCACAAAAAGCTTTTTGTGCCACTTTACTGGTGTATCATTATATGTGTTCAGCATCTACATCTTTCCTTGCATAAATCTAATTGGGAAGAAAAATAAAATAAAAGCATGAACAGAAATCAATAACTTTTCACTGATTGGTTTAATGTCTTTTCTTTACTTTCTGTTTCGGTGGATTAAATCATTCCCTTTTTTTGAATCACTTGATTGATCTTCCTATCCTTCAGTCACCTGGGGAAATACTGTCTTTCACATAAGTGTAATGTGACTGCTAGAATTGTCACATTTTCAGTGATGCACTGTCAAACTGCTGATGCCTTGCTGCTTAGCATTGTTATTGAGTTCCTTCATTATTCTGCAGTGACTTCAGATGAGAGCAACAGAACCTGGGGAAGGAGCACCGCTTGTCATCAAGAAGAATTTGAAGACGTGAAGCGAAGCTTTAAAAAGAAAGGTTGTACATGGGGACCAAACTCAGTGCAAGCAAAAGAGCGCTCTGATTGTAAAGAGAGGTATGGCTGCTATGTGACATGGAATATATCCGACAAAATAAATCTCAATTTCCAATATATGTATACCAATTTGCAGTTTAAAAATCCCAAAGGAGTTCACAACCAGAACAGATACTATAAAATAATGGCCAAAATAATTAACAGAAAAAAACCCATAAAGATAGCAAAATCCACAACAGCTCTCATTAAATGCTAGAAAGAATGAATTCAGTTAACAATTGGGAAACTAAAATTACTTTTATTATGAATTTCCCTCATGGTCCCTATGTAAGCCGCCCCGAATCCCTTCGAGGAGATGGTGGTGGGATATAAAAATAAAGTTGTTGTTGTTGTTATTATTATTATTATTATTATTATTATTATTAAATTAGTTTTATTTCTTGCCTTCTGTCTATGGCATGCATTTCTTATTGGATCTGCTCTAGTCAACTTTTTTCCTTTCAGCCTTCTTCTCTCACATTCTGGTCTTTATAAAAAAAATACAGATCCATTTTGAGTGCATAGCTCTTACAAATCTGAATTTGAATTATTATGTGCCTATTTACAATCGTTGTTAGGACTGCTATTTTTTTCTGAGAAACTCTGCAACATTTTTATAGGCAGGAACAGCATGTTCTTCTCTCATCTAGGATCAGCTGTCCCAACTGAATTTGGCTGGTGTGGATGGGTGAAAAATATAGTTGGTTCTGGATAAGAATTTACCCAAATTTGCAAATTTCTTTGTTTCTAGAGTGGAAAGAAATTTTAATGAAGGAGGGAGGGAATAGGTTTATCCATGCCTACAATGAATAATTCAATGACTTGGCAAGTCAAAATTTCATGAACCTGAGCTTAATTTTGGTAGGCTTTAATTTTTGTGTTAAAATCAATATATTCTGTGAAGTATACATTTTAACTGAACAGCAAAGCAAATCTCATAAAAATAGAAACTACATTTCAGCTTTTTTGTTCAGTCTCCATACATTTAAAACCATATGTAAAATATATACGATTAGAGAGAATATTTTAGGGAGACCATATGCAGTGGGTCTCTGCTTTAGCTTGATAGCACAACTTTTTACCTGAACTAGTCAAGGAAATACATAACTCCTATGGCCCTGAACTCACCTTAGTGGTTTTCAAAAACTAGGACAATATGGCATAGACAGGAGACAGAAACTTACTGCATGCATTGGATGGCTGCTACTTCTTCTGATTTTAAACATCCTTCATCAGAATTTCTCGTTCTCTCCTTTTGTGTTGAGTGAGAGTTTGTTGGTGACGAGGGTGCTTTCCAACTTTGTACATTATGGCATACGTGATTCAAGGATGAATAAGGGAGACAGGATCTGAAGTGGATTGCATCATTTAAGGGGTACATCATGTGGGAGCTTCTTGTGCTGTGATGTATTAAATCACTTTAAACTGTTTTTCATTCAGGCGGTGCCAATGGCCAGATGTGGCCAGCTAACTCAATACTATTGCAGTTGCTAAAATATGCTCTCTTGTGCAGAGTGAGTGGGTTGGGCCATTCTTTTCATGCCCCTGATTATGCTATTTATATAAAGAGCCTGATTTCCTTCGTGTCTCTTTTCAGAATAAGACCACTCTCAGATGGCAGCAGTCCTTGGTCAACGCTTTTGATGAAGAATCAGAAAGGTGACCCATTAGCTTCTTTGTTTTTAGACCAAGGTAAGTGTGTGTATATAACTGAATACTGCTTTTATTTTTCTTGATCTAGTGGAAGTTAACAACAAGTATTAAGCCACAGATTTCAAAGCGCTTAGAATTTTGACCTTATGTCAGAGGATCTGAACAAATAGGTAAATGACTGGCTTTCTGAAAATAATACCAGGTTCATATGAGCACCTCAAATCTTAAGTATTGGCAGGAACAGGTATAGCGTGTGCATTTCAGTTTTGACGTTGCTAATTGCTTTGTCACTCCTGACCCAATTTCATATTTTACAAGGTCCAGGCAGTCCCCAAGTTACAAACATCTGACCTACAAATGACTCATAGTTAAGAATGGGGGTGATAGTACAGGAAGTGAAAGAAATCTATCCCAGGAAGGGAAATTCACCTCTGAAAGAGTTATCACGGGGAAAAGGTGTCTTGACTGAAGCCTTATCACCAATCTTTGTTTCCACAATAAGCCATTTTTTTTCAAAATGTGATTATCATAAGGACAGAAAAGTGAGGTGAAATCTTCTGAACAGGGGCTCAGACAGCAAAACTAACATTACAGTGGTGTCAACCCTTCCCTATGCTATCAATCCCCCCCCCTCTCTATATATATGGGGTGGAGTTACACTTAATAAATGTATCTGTTCTGACTTACGAGCAAATTCAGTTTAAGAACAAACCTACAGAATCTATCTTGTTCATAACATTTGGGGGTTGCCTGTAGTGAGTTATAACTTCTGCTGATGGATGGATAGACAGATGCATGTTACATCATTCTGTCAAATATCTCTCATCATATTACACATATTACTCAAAAAGGAAAGCAGAAAATCTAACCAAGAACTTGGACAACAATTTTAAACACAAGAATGATTAAAAGACCTAAAAGAGGGATATTTACTGTCAGATGTAAGGCACCACTGTGTTCAGAGATACTCAGAACTCGGAAAAGTTACGTCTTTTCTGCAACCCCAAGAATTCTTAGATAGCATGTTTACTGAGAGTTCCTATTGGCTGTGCCGCCTGAGGTAATTTAGGAGTTTCAGTTCAAAAGAACAATGCTTCCAGGCATGATACAGTGGCCAATCATAACATTTGGTGTCATTTGCAACTTTTAGAAAATCCAAATCTATGTACCGTAGTTCTTATTTAATTTAAAATTGAGTGTAGAAGATTAAGTCTGTAAGCTGAAATTGCCCATACTGCTACAAAACAATGGTTTTAGATCAATTTTTACCTTGTTATACCCTGATAGACCTTCAACAAACTTTAAAATCTGCTCAGAGGTATGGGCTGGGCTGGGCTGGGCAAAAGGAGATGTGATGCAGCATCATTTTTAAATATGAGTTTTGTCCCACTCCAGCAGAGACCTTTGAGATGGAACATGGAATTACAACCTGTAACCCCTGCATTCTACACCTGATCATTGATATGATTTGGTTGGGTTATATGTTTTATGTTAGTTATAGAATGCCGGAACAGCAGTAACAAATTTGAAGTAAGCAGAGAGATGGTCATCTTACTGGATAGCTAGAAGCCATGTTCCGAGAAAGCATTAGCTAGGTTACATGGGGGATGGTACTCCTGTGTCTTTAATCATTAATAAATCCTTGATTTGGAAGAAGTACCATACATAGGCATACAGAATGTCTCTGTCCCCATCCTCCACCCCCACCTCACCCTTTATCTGCTACAGCTCCCTTACACAATATACTGGTCTGTTTCTGTAGCTCGATGAATAGCAATTCATCATTTTCCATGCTGCACATCCAGCCACAAGAACTTAACTGGATGCTTCTCTGCACGTGCTCTTCTGTTCACTACCCAGCAATAGCTGTGTTGAGGGAAGGGGCTTCAGCAGCTAAAATGTGGATTTGTATAAGTGTCATAGTTACAAGAGACAGAACTTTCTGATATTTCTTCTCAACTTCTGATGTGACAACCATTAAAGCTGCAAGGCTCCCCTCTCATATTCAACCTGGCAGCATAAATCCAAGTGAATTCACCTTGGAGCTGTGCAGAAATACTATAGATTCGGGTAATCATGTCAAAAATGTATTTTTTCCTTGGTTGAGATTTCTACTTTCCTCGACAAGCAGAAAGGATGTATAGCATCTTTTACCCTTTGTGTTTGATCCCACATCACAACTGCACTGAGAAACCATAGACCCTAGTTTGTTGGTAATGTCATATATGTAATTGTTTAAAGATCTGCATTTCATTACAAAGGTCTGAACAAATTTATGCCTTTACAGAGCAGAGGCTCTCCTCCGAAGGTCTGGATATTAAGCGACCAAAACCATTAAAATTGCCAAACCAGGCCTACATTGATCTACCTCTATGGAAGGATGACCAGGGACTAAATTGTGCAGAACAGGAGAGTACCGAAGAAGGGAATTCAGCAAGTTCTGCGAGTAGCACTCCACAAATGACTCCTACAAACAGCCTGAGTAGAACATTACAGAAAAAGAAAACTGATTCTGTGCTGTACGGATGTACCGTCCTTCTTGCATCCATAGCTCTGGGGTTTGATATTAGGGAGTTGAATAAATGGCAGGTTTCAGAGGAAGCATTGCCCAAGGAAGAAAAGAAAAAACGTGATGGACTATTTCAACGAGCTTCTAAGTTTCGCAGGAGTTCAAGCCCTGTGAGGCTGCAGTCTAAAAAAGAGGAGCCGCACATCCCTTCACCGTGTCAGTGTGCAAATACTGTGAATCTTCTGTCTATGCCTTCTGTTTCCACAAAGTGTCTTCTTCATTCTGACAATGAAGATACAATTGTGAGCACGCCACCGAGGCATGGAGATATTCCCAGTAAATGCCTTTCATCAGAAAACCCTGATAGCAAAAGAGAACATGTGGCCAAAGCTGACCCTGCCACTGATTCAAATGTGCCATCTCCAAGTCTTCCTTTGAAAAAAGAAACAGTGTGGGTAGAAAATGTTATGTCCTCAAAAGCAAGAGTTTGGAGTCACAGACGAACCATGTCAGATGGAAATCCATGCCACTCCACAAGTGAGTAGAACAAAGTGTCTATGATGTCTTTTACTGTGATAAAGAAGTAATACTGAATATATATATTTTATTTATTGTTCATTGGCTACAACTTGCACTATCCTGTTCCTTTGTTATTGTCTACAGTTGGCCATGTTTTACAACAATTCTCACCATAGGCTATTGGGCACTGTTTTGAGTTTAAATTACTGTTTTATATGCTTTTGGTTTTATTTTGTATTGTACTGTGTATTTATTTTATGCATTGTTTTAGGCACATTATGCCATATGTAAGCCGCCCAAGTCCCTTCAGGAAGATGGAAGCAGGGTACAAAAATAAAGTTATTATTATTTATTGTACCTCTAAGTTAGTGGTGTCAAACTTGTGACCCTCCAGTTGTTTTGGACTTCAACTCCCTGAATTTCTGGCCCATTGACAAGCTGGTTAGGGCTTTTGGGAGTTGATGCCCAACATCTGGAGGACCACAAGTTTGACACCTCTGTATAAGTAATATATCCAAAAGAAGCAATGAAAATATTTATATACTAATGAATTTTGGGAATGAAAGAAGTTGGCGGTGAGTATTTCTACCATTAGTGGCTTTACCTTACCTGGATCCTCCATGATACTCAAAAAGTGGGGAATGCATACCATAAAGATGGTCAGAAAAGACTCTGAAATAATAATAATAATAATAATAATAATAATAATAATAATAATTATTATTATTATTATTATTATTATTATGAATACTATATGAAATCCAGCATGTAGATCTCGTTTGCTGTGACATACTGTGCTTTTGTGTCAGTAAAATAATAATAATAATAAACAACTTTATTTCTACCCTGCCACCATCTCCCCGAAGGGACTTGGGGCAGCTAACCTCAGGCCAAGCCCAAACAATTACAATAAAGCAAAAGTACATAAGAAACAAACAATAACATCAAATAAAAATGCTTAATAATAACATAGTAATACAATGAAAATAACAAAAACATAATAAAAACAAATGATAAATGCTAATGGAATTAGACAGAGCGAGCTGGATCAAATGTGATGGGTAAAAATTATAAAACCCATGGGTGAGATAGATAGAAGATGCTATGACTAGTGGGAGGCTCGGATGGGATAACAATAAAGTTAATCTCAGTGATTGATAGAAACTCATATACTACTTGCAGACAATCTTAGATGGGGAAAGTTTTCTGCAACTCCAGCTAATAAACTACTTGGTGCTGTGAAAAATCTCTTTCTGAGATTCTACAAAAGAATTGTGGATGAGAAATGCAAATAATACAATCTAATATAAGCCTTTTTCTAGTGTCCACATACATATGATTTTTTCTGTACAAATACAGTGGAAGTAAGGCATATAGATGCACAGATCCAGAGATCTAAGACACAGATAGGTTTTATTTCATCACAAGCCATGAATTCTGACATTAGCATTTCTCCTTCTTGTCTTTCTTCTCCCCATAGCGAATGGAATTCCTAATGGGACTACAGATACTCTGCATGCTCCATCCCCCCAGCAAAGAAACTCTCATGCAGAAAAGCATGGACCTGTCAATATTATACCAAGACCTCGACCTTCTTCTTTAAGAAGCAGATTGGATCCATGGCAGGCTGTTTCACAGAATGTGAAGCCAAGCCCTTTTGAGATGGATAATTCAGAGGGCAATAGAAGTTCAAAGACAAACTCACCAGCAGACACTGAAGAGAGAACTAAATCCCATATGCCCACTTTACTTGACATTGACGTAGAAGGTCAGAACAGTGACTCTACCGTGCCGTTATGTAGAATGAAGAGTAAAGCTAGTCGACCATCAATATATGAACTGGAGAGGGAATTCTTGTCTTAAGTGCCTTGGATTTTTAATTCCATTTTAAAGAGAAATTCTTTTTGAAGATTGTTGCTTGTGCATATGACAGCCTTTTTCTAAATATTTTTATGGATAGGGGTGATATTACACCAGCTAAATAAAATATTAAATATAGAAAGGATATTCCAGGTGAAAGCCACTTTGGTATTGGTGTTCAGTTACAGTATTCAGGAAAATATTGATAAATTTCTCACAATTTTAACTTCTTTCTCTTTTTACCAAATGTCAAGTCCCCTTTCTGAATTCCAGTTGAAGTTTTAGCTACAACTTTTTTCTATAACCTGTTCAATCAAGAATATACTTGAAGACCCATGAAGACTAATAAGTAAAAGCATTTTTGTGATATATGGCTTTCTCAAAACATTATTGCGAATATGTATTGTTTCATCTGTGAAACAGAAATGCTGTTGACATTTGGTAACCATGCAGTCCTATTTTAGAATGCAGCTATGCTATAGTAAGAATTAATGTTATCCTAATTTCAGCAAAGCTAGCATTTTACCCAAAGTAAATAGCTACTTCTAATCAATTTTGTTCAGCAAGGCCCCTTCCACACAGTCCTATATCCCAGAATATCAAGGCAGAAAATCCCACAATATCTGCCTTGAATTGGGTTATCTGAGTCCACACTCAGATAATGTGGGATTTTCTGCCTTGATATTCTGAGATATAGGGCTGTGTGGAAGGGCCCCTAGATGCACATTTAGGGTCACAGTTCTCAACTGAAAAATATTTTCACTAGGCAATCTTCAGAGACAATGATTTGATTAAAATATGTAACATCTTTCAAGTGAATTCCTGTTATATATGGGTAAATATATACTCTGGTATATATGTATCCATTACTCCAGTTTCCATTTTAAAAAGGAGTAATATTAATTTGATCACAGTTTCAAATTTCACGGGTCAGGTGTTGGGGAGAAAATCAGGGAAGAGGCATTTTTAAATTAGAAAAAAAATCTGTTGTTTTTAATGTCTAATATAAGAAACAATCTTGTTAGAAAATAAGTTATTGAAAATGTTCAAATCAGATGTATGCTTTACTGTGCCAACTCTTTATATGAATTTGTTTTGTCAGTGCCTGGTCTTCAGAAAGATAAAAACTTATAAATCTTCTCACTTTGTTTCATTAAATGTAGATTTTTTTAAAAAAAATAGTAGTCATTACTCATTGATAAAGGCGCATTTCAAAAGTTTGGCATGAACAGTATTTATTTTTAAATGAATTCTTGAAGGTATTTTGAGATATTGAGGCATTATGAAATTCTATGATAATATTTTGCGTTCAATTCCTCTAAATTGGACCTTGTCCAGAAGTTATTTAAAAAACCCATTAGATTTCCATATGATATAGAAATAAAAATGCTCACTAAATAACAAGTTATTTTATACCTCTATGTCTTTGTGTTTTAAAGATCCAAATAGCCTGTTGCTTGAGTATCAGGTACTTGTGCATTGGGACACATATCCAAAAAGTTTTTCATACTCTTTCACTCATCACAAACCCCAGCAGCCTGCTCAACATAGATAATGATGAAGAATATTCAATTTTGGTCAAAAAAGCTTTGAATGGGTTTAGCTACAGAGGCCAAAATGAGAGCATTGCCTTTTCAGAAAAGGATTCTGCTTCCCAGTTATTTTTATAGCACTGCAGAGGTTCACACCTAGAAGTCTTAAATTTTCTGTGTTCACATTCCCTTTTTACTTTTCCTTGCCATTTTTCTTTGAATGCCTCAACTGTTTGGTATCTTTAAGGGATATGAACACAACCAGTCCATGGTCACCTGAAACCACAGATATAACCCATTATATTAAAAGGCCTAGCGTACCATAGAGTCATGTTGGACCCCAACTGTGGATTAATGAATCTGAAGATGGATTTTGTGGTTATCTGGGATTTACTGTATTTCAGAATGCTCAACTGCTATAATTTTCAAAATTTGGGGAGGGATGGCAATCTTCATTTCAGTGGCCAAGTGGAGAATGATCTCATTTTCATCACCTCCCATCTATAAACTGTTCCTACCCCTGATTTACACCATAGAGAATCTTACTCCATTCAGAGTGTGTTTCAGAAGACACTTTAGGAGTTGGAGGAGCAGTGACGCTCTGTGGTGAAGAGAGGAGACCAAGCAACCTAAGGGTGCCCAGGAGGAAATACACAGCCTTTCATGCCCTCCTACCTCTTCATTTGTTTCATATCAAACACAATTAGATTTTGTTGTTTAAAAAACTTTCAGAGCCAATTGGAAAAATGCAGTCCTCTGTTTTAGAGTCTTAGATTGGATGCCAGATCCAGTTAAAGCTCATGTCAAAGGCTTTGAGATGAAAATTCCAATAGTGCATTTGTGTTCTGTTTTTTGATGCCTGAACAATTATTCCAAACAAATCTTACACACTGAAGAGGGGGCAAGCTTTTTTTTTCTGCTCTAGGGACTAGGACATGGAGCCAGGACTAACATTGCAGAAAAAAACATATTCCACCTAAACATTAGGAAAAACCTCCCAGTGGTTTAGCAGTGAAATATGCTGTCTCGGGGCATGGTGGAGTCTTCTTCTCAGGGGTTCTTTGATTCTATGTTGCTGCATGGTTGGACTGGATGGCGCTTGTGGTCTCTTCCAACACTATGAATCTTAATTTAACCAGGTGGTTTGTTTTCTTGTCCAAGCTACCAGAGGTACCCCACCCCACCTCAGACTCATGGTTTAGCTGTGACAACCTTCCTGAATGGCCATTCTGTGACTGGTGAAGAGTGTGGAGGATTATTAAGTATCTAACTTCATAATCATACTAAATAGCAAATACAGACTAATGACTCCATAGTACAACACCTTAGAGCAGTGTTTCTCAGCTTGTAGGTCCCCAGATGTTTTGGCCTTCAACTTACAGAAATCCTAACAGTTGGTAAATTGAATGTGATTTCTGGGAATTGTTAGGCCAAAACACCTGGGGACCCCCAGGTTAAGAACAACTGCCTTAGAAGCTTCTCTAATTCCACCCACCCACCTGCCCTAGAATGGCCTTTGAGGGGAATAATTGCAGAAAGATCTTGAGTCTTGGGTTCAGAACTGGAAAGCCTATCTGACATTCCATGTGCTAAGCTCTTACAATATCCTAGGGGCAGTGGTTCTCAACCTATGGGTTCCCAGGTGTTTTGGCCTACAACTCCCAGAAATCCCAGTCAGTTTACCAGCTGCTAGGATTTATGGGAGTTAAAAGCCAAAACATCTGGGGAACCACAGGTTGAGAACTGTCCTAGGGAATGTAGGAACTCTACCAATGTTGGTTGTACAGGTTTTCTTTTATAAAACAAGTTATTTTTTTTTAAAAAAATAATTGTTTCTCTTCACTACTATGTAGATGTGCTATTTTCTGACAAACAGTACTGTGTGCAAAATGTCATATATTGTGCAGTACTTTTTCTGATGTTGCCCCTGTGCATGTTGAATTGGGAACATTCACTTGGTTCATTTTTCATAACTTGCTGAGATTTGCAAATTTATTCACAAATTCAGTGAAAAGAAGGTGAGGCTTTTAAATTAAAAATGAAAGTGGTAGAAAGTGAAACTGACTGATTGTCCATCTCTTGATTTTAGTTGGATCAACTTTACTCCACTAGCGGAAGAGTGGGAAGAACTGACTTTTGTTGATTTTCAGCCACATTTGTTCCAAATACAATATTCACAAATAATGCTGAGTGAATTCTACAAGGAACACTCTTGAGTTCCAAGAATGGTAGGATGATAAACACACTAAAATCAGCTATCTTAGATTTAATGTTGACATTTTTACACTGGGTTTTCTTTGCTTCACAATACCATATGCTGAAAAGGTACCTGCCCAAATTCCCATCTAATTAAAATTCCCTTATTGGTGTATTAGGATACACCAATTAAAATGTAAGGAAAGAAGTTCAGATCTCATCACACTAGAGAATGAATTCATGTTAAATCTGGTTGCTGCCCCCTAAGAATTCTGGGGTTTGTAGTTTAGGGAGGAGCTTTTAACAGCCTCACTAAACTACAAACTCCAGAATCCAGCAGGAGGCAGAAACCAGATTTGAAGTGAATTCATTCTCTAGTGTGATGAAGTAGTAAATGTAGAGGACAGAAACAATATTTTCCTGGAAGAAGGAAGGGAAAAATATAAAATATTCCTATAAAATATTGAAGACATGTCAAAATTTGACTTTCTGGTACATTGTGTTCTATACTTCACCATCCACTTGCTTTCTTCTCATCTGACATGAATATTTGTATTGTGGAGGAGTTTCTTTGTCAATGTGGGAAACAAATGTTCTGTGCTTTCAAGTTAATTTCTGCTTATGGAAATTAGCAGAAAGAAAGTTGTTGACTTAAGTAACATAGCGACCATACTGTTTTACATAGTTGTCTGTTAGAGTATATCCATGAGGGTGACCATGTGGCTATGTTGATTCTCCTTGAACATCTCAGAGGCATTCAGTGCCATCACCCATACTTTCCTTCTGGACTACCTTGCATGGATGAGTTTGGAAGGCATTGTTTCGTTGACTCCTCATGTTCTTGGAACAAGATGATGGCATCCAGAGATCATTGGTGTACCTTTTGCTTCCTGTGGCCTTTGCAGAATTTTGCCTTATTTCCAACTATTTTAAACATGTACATGAAACACATTGTTTAAAGGAAGTCATCAGAACATCTGAGCTGAAGAATAATCAGTTTGTTGTTGGCAGATGGCAGGCACTATGGTTTTCATCACATCTTCAGGGAATGGAAATTCTTCACTGTTGGGTGTGAGAGACAAAATGAAGATAATTTATTTTTATTTATTTTCTGTATTTAGATCCTGCCCTTCTCACACTGAAGGGGACTCAGAGCGGCCTTACAATAGGCAACAATTCAATGCCACATATTCCATACAGATAAGCTGAAGTGGACATTCTGACCTGGAGCCAGATCAATATCCTGTTCAAATGGGGTTCCAATTATTTTGCTCCTTCACTCAGGATGGTTTTGAAGACTCAGGAATTGTTAGCGACTTGGCATATTTTTTTGCTAGCTTCATGAAGTATGCCAACATTTTCAGCTTTAAAAGTTTATTTAATTATTTATTTGCTTTATTTATATACCGCTTTTCTCAGCCCTCAGGCGACTCAAAGCGGTGAACAACATCGATACAAAACATCACGAGACAAGTATAGGGCAATTAAAAACAATTGTAACATAAATCATTAAGTTAGACCTCACTTGAGACTTTCATGCTTTCGTAACTACTTAGCATGCTATAATGCATTCTGAACCAGACTGGCAACCACATATTATTCTGCCTCTGTAGTATCCATTTGTAGTATCTATATTTGGGAATGGTTTAGCAGAACAATGATTATATGTTTCTTTATTAATATTGAAAAAAATTACAACTTTCCAAATGAAATGCAGATACGTGAAAAGATTTACCTAGTTGTGCTATTTAACTATTTTCTAATAGCAATAAAAGCTTAATCTCCTTCTTCCCAAGGCATGTTAAAATTTGGTGATATTATAAACTGACAAGTGCAGTAGCTAAGAAAAGAAGTATAGTGCTTGGGGCATAATCATTTCTGGCATGCATCTCTGTTCACTAGGTAGTAGTAATTGCTCTGTCAAGACCTCTAACACAGCTCAGGATTGCTGTGCTGTTTATAGCTCTCTTGGCTGGGGGATCTTTTAATTGTTCATTTTACCACTCTAAAGCTGTCCTCTGAATTGGGTTCATGATTCTTTGTCACATACAAAGGAGAAAACTGCTGTGGATAACTCCACAGGTGTGTGGTTTTTGAAGGGTTCAGAGGTCCTCCTGGTCGATCGTAAACCGGATCAGGGTTTGGACGGGGTTGCACTCCCCCTGAAGTCACAGGTCCGCAGTTTGGGTGTCCTCCTGGACTCATCACTTACGCTTGAAGCTCTGGCGTCGGCGGTGGTCAAGAGGGCCTTTGCTCAACTAAGACTCGTGCGCCAACTGCGACCATACCTCATGAAGGCGGATCTGGCCAGGGTGGTCCATGCCTTAGTCTCCTCCAGATTGGACTACTGTAATGCACTCTACGTGAGGCTGCCCTTGAAAACGGCCCGGAAGTTTCAATTGGTCCAGCGGGCGGCGGCCAGATTGTTAACTAGTGCTCCTTACAGGGAGAGGTCAACCCTCCTGTTTAAGGAGCTCCATTGGCTGCTGTTCATTTTCCGGTCCCAATTAAGGTGCAGGTACTTACCTACAAAGCCCTAAACGGTTAGGGACCCGTCTACCTGCGTGACCGCATCTCTATACGAACCCACACGATCTCTTCGATCATCTGGAGAGGCCCTGCTCGCGATCCCACCTGCATTGCAAACGCGATTGGTGGGGACAAGGGACAGGGTCT